GCCTTCTGATGTTGTGGAGGCAGTAAATTTAAGTGAGGTTAAGAAAAAGCTTGATAAGTATATGAATGATAAGGGCTGGTTTTAAGACTTTTTTAAGATTATATTGATTTAATTTAGAGGATGGAACAGCTGACATGGACCAATAGGTCCCAGGTTGTCCCAAAACATTATGTTATGTTACATTACCCATACTTGACACAGTTTCTTGAACGTTTTGATCTCAAGTTGTGTTATGAACATTTTTCACACTTTTTGAATTGTATGCATTTACATTTCATTTTCTTATCTCCATCAGCTACACATCAGTCAAGGTGTTGGCCGTTTCATTGCTATGCCACCCTATTCTCATTATGTCTACACTTGCATTAGTGAAAGAGATCAGGTATGTACCAATAGATTGTTTTGTACCTCTGTGAGTTTTTAATGTTACTGTTCAACGTGTTTATCAAAATTCATGCTATTTCTTGTTTGAGCTAAGGTTAATAACTTGATGTTTGTTTTGTTTTTATCTCACGATGATAATTAATAAATTCATTGATGAAGAATATTTCAGGACAAAGCCTTTTACATCCTGCACAAAATAATTAATAGATTATGTAGAGGGATGTTTGTTAAAATTAAAATTATTTTGCAAATCAATAAATAGTAAAAGATAAGTGACTAAAACTTGAAAATTATAGCTCTGCGGCCATTTTACAGGGAAGAAAAGTTGCATGCTTCCAAAAAAAGGGAATTTAAAAAGAACTTGAACAGCACTAAATTGAATAGGAAGCTTTCTGTAGTTTTGTCAAAATGTATGTATAAACAAAATATGAAATTATAAAGAAGTCAAATTATGTAATAAAAAAGGAATGTGTCAAAAACTCTGCATTAAATGCCCCCAAGTGGCTCAAATTGGGCCTAAACACTGGTGGTAGGCAGAGTATTGGTAGCCCACTTTGTGTTTAACAACAACCAAACCACATTAAGTAGAGCAAAAGGTTATTAAAATTTAAAAAATTAAATAAAAAACAAACATTCTTAGCTTTAGATTCATCATCTTTTTGTAAACAAAACAGTTGAGATTACTTTGATATTAACATGTGAAATATAGAGCATCTTAATAGCAGTTTGACTCAAGGTGATAGTTTAGTAGTAATAACTTTTGTTAACATGTGAAATATAGAGCATCTTAACAGCAGTTTGACTCAAGGTGATAGTTTAGTTGTAATAACTTTTGTTAACATGTGAAATATAGAGCATCTTAATAGCAGTTTGACTCAAGGTGATAGTTTAGTTGTAATAACTTTTGTTAACATGTGAAATATAGAGCATCTTAACAACAGTTTGACACAAGGTGATAGTTTAGTAGTAATAACTTTTATTAACATGTGAAATACAGAGCATCTTAACAACAGTTTGACTCAAGGTGATAGTTTAGTAGTAATAACTTTTATTAACATGTGAAATACAGAGCATCTTAACAGCAGTTTGACTCAAGGTGATAGTTTAGTAGTAATAACTCTTATTAACATGTGAAATACAGAGCATCTTAACAGCAGTTTGACTCAAGGTGATAGTTTAGTAATAACTTTTATTAAAGTGTGAAATACAGAGCATCTTTATAAAGTGTGAAATGCAGAGCATCTTAACAGCAGTTTGACACAAGGTGATAGGTTAGTAGTAATAACTTTTGTTAACATGTGAAATACAGAGCATCTTAACAGCAGTTTGACACAAGGTGATAGTTGAGTAGTAATAACTTTTATTAAAGTGTGAAATGCAGAGCATCTTAACAACAGTTTGACTCAAGGTGATAGTTTAGTAGTAATAACTTTTATTAAAGTGTGAAATACAAAGCATCTTAACAATTAACTAAAAGTTATTACTACTAAACTATCACCTTGTGTCAAACTGCATGTGAAATACAGAGCATCTTAACAGCAGTTTGACACAAGGTGATAGTTGAGTAGTAATAACTTTTATTAAAGTGTGAAATGCAGAGCATCTTAACAACAGTTTGACACAAGGTGATAAACTATCACCTTGAGTCAAACTGCTGCACACTTTAATAAAAGTTATTACTACAAATGCAGAGCATCTTAACATGTGAAATACAGAGCATCTTAACAGCAGTTTGACACAAGGTGATAGTTGAGTAGTAATAACTTTTATTAAAGTGTGAAATGCAGAGCATCTTAACAACAGTTTGACACAAGGTGATAGTTGAGTAGTAATAACTTTTATTAAAGTGTGAAATGCAGAGCATCTTAACAACAGTTTGACACAAGGTGATAGTTT